GGACCTACACTATGCTAAGCACTTTACAATATAGTATCTCATTTAGCCTTCATGATATCTCTTTGGTATATAATGATGTCCATTTTACATACAATTAAGGGTTTTTTGTTTGTTTGTTTGTTTGTTTTTGACAGGCAGAGTGGATAGTGAGAGAGAGAGACAGAGAGAAAGGTCTTCCTTTGCCGTTGGTTCACCCTCCAATGGCCGCCGCGGCTGGCGCACTGCGGCCGGCGTACTGTGCTGATCTGATGGCAGGAGCCAGGTACTTATTCTGGTCTCCCATGGGGTACAGGGCCCAAGCACCTGGGCCATCCTCCACTGCACTCCCTGGCCACAGCAGAGAGCTGGCCTGGAAGAGGGGCAACCGGGACAGAATCCGGTGCCCCAACCGGGACTAGAACCCTGTGTGCCGGTGCCACAAGGCGAAGGATTAGCCTAGTGAGCCGTGGCGCTGGCCACAATTAAGTTTTAAAGACATACTATTGAGGTCACAGGCTAGCAAATGATAGAATTGAACCTAATTTATTTGCTTCTAAAACAATTACTTCTTTCATTTCAGTTAAAGTTCTTTGTGTATAAAATTAAACTGTAATCAAAATGGAAAAGTTTATTATAAGGGTACCAGAAGTGACATGAAAGTGAACATGTAGGGGCAGGCATTGTGGTGTAGTGGGTTAAACCTCCGCCTGCTACACTGTCATCCTGTATGGGTGTTGGTTCATGTCCTGGCTGCTCCACTTGCAATTCAGTTCCCTGCTAATGTGACTGGGAAAGCAGCAGAAGATGGCCCAAGTACTTGCCTCTGTCACCCATGTAGGAGACCCAGATGAAATTCCTGGCTCCTGGCTTCGGCCTGGCCTAGCCCTGGCCATTTCAGTCATTTAGGAGGTAAACCAGTGGATGGAAGATCACCCTTGTTTATCTGTACCTTTGTCTTTCAAATAAATAAAATAGATATATGTTAGAAGAAAAAAAGTCAGGTTCTATGCATCTGAGCCCAAGGGTGTCTGGTTTGGAACCAGACACCAAAACCTATCTGGGCCAAAGGAGATCTCTGTATATTTTCTTCATTTTCTTTATCCTTCCTCCTCTCTTCTCTGTTTTCCTGTGTCATCCCATCTCCTACCTCCCCACTAAGAGATTTACATGTTATATAGCACTGTTAACCCACAAAGGTTACCAGTAGATTATGGCTAAGTCTCAGTTCCTTATTGACAAGATGAGCAAAGCTTGTAGCAGGTGTTGACTTTTGCTTTGGGGACTATAGCCAAGGGATTAAATTCCCAAAGTATGACAGTGATTGCAAAGCCAAAGCATTTACTGTTATGAGTTTGAGAATAGTTCTTGAGATAGGTAGACACCATGACAGTGATGTTCTGTCTAGTCCACTGCTTTTTAAAATTTCTTTGTCTATGATCTGTAATTCTTTTTTACATTGCAGCTCATCATAAGTTTGATTCCTAACCTCACAAACATACTTACTGCTACTAATTTGTGAGACAGTCTCATATTTTTTCTTTTCCCTTTCCTTCAAGGAGATGTTGGTTACAAACCATTACGTTGAATTTGTAATCCATTATTGTAATCCTATAAATGGGAAGATACTTCTCTACTCTATACCCAGAGGGGCTGGCTGCAAGCATGTGCAGTGTTAACCATCTTGTGAGACTTTGAATTTTTAATATCCGAATCTCAGGCATGGTCTACCTTGAAGAAAGCTCGAATCCATAGAAAGAATCTGCTAATTGCATTTTTCACAGTGAATGAATATTCATATTTTTTCTGTCATGATAACTTGTTGAGACATTAGTAAAGATCTCAAGGCCCAGATCATGACCCATTTCACTGTTTACCTTTTTTAGTAGCACTTGTGGTAAGCTGCTGCAAGAATTCTCTCTAAAGCAGGCTTTGATGTTTGTTTATTTAAGGTTTTATTTATTTATTTATTTGAGAGGTAGAGTTACAGACAGTGAGAGGAAGAGAGAGAGAGAGGTCTTCCATCCGCTGGTTCACTCCCTAATTGGCCGCAATGGCCCGAGCTGTGCTGATCCGAAGCCAGGAGCCAGGAGCTTTCTCCAGGTCTCCCATGCGGGTGCAGGGGCCCAAGCAGTTGGGCCATCTTCTACTGCTTTCACAGGCCACAGCAGAGAGCTGGATTGAAGTGGAGCAGCTGGGACTGGAGCCGGTGCCCATATGGGATGCCAGCACTTCAGGCCGAGGATTAACCTACTGTGCCACAGCACCGGCCCCTTGATGTTTACTTTTAAAACATAGAAGGAAAGGCAGAAATAAGAATCTGAGATTTTTATTTTCAATTAAAAAGAATTGACAAAAGAACTAAGGCAAACACTAACCTAATCCTCACTAGTGTGGGGAGCAACTGAGACTACACTAAATTACTGGAACTAGGACTAATTCTATGCATCTGATCTCCCGCAATATGGCATTGAGAGAGAGACCAAACAACCTCTACGCAGCTGCCTCTCGCTAATTTGACTGATAAGCTGCAGGAGCTAATCCTGCTCCTGATTGGAGGAGAGCAACGTGCTTGGCACATGGGTAGCAGAGTTGGGATTGGTGGAAGAGGACTATAAGGAGAGGAGAGACAACATGCACCAGGAACATCTGAAGGAACACCTGAGGAACATCTGAGCAGCCCCCGAGAGAGCCAGCCAGCGGTGTGCCGCTCCTCCGCGGAGGCGGGGAAAGCGGCGGGGGGTGCCACCCCTCCACCTCCGTGGAGGGGCTGGCAGCTAACCCAGGACAGTGTCGTCCGCAGCTAACCTGGGAAGAGCCGAGCAGATAAGAGAACAGCGCAGGATCTGGTGTCGTTCCTCCGCGAATGGGGGAGTGACAACTAGGCCTTAAATTAAAGATTTACTTCTAAAAGCCAAGAATAAATAATCTAGTAGTAATTTGGCAATTCCAGTCATATAAAGCGTATTGAGAACCTGAAAGTAAGATAAAGAAAGGCATCTTGGGCAGTCGAAATAAATAGTAAATAAAACCTGTGATAGTCCCATTTACTGAAGGAATGACTCAATTTTATTATACTGTTAGGAAGACCAAGTCCAAAGTTCTGTGTAGTATATTTGGGAAGGGCAAACCCTCATTTATTCTGCAAATATTGTATCCTGATATATACAGAGTTCACATTTATATTTCTGTTTTCGAAGAGGAGAAGGAAGAAATGGGAACTTTATATTCAAGACTTACACAGTTTTATATTCACTATAGCTTTTGTCATCTCTGTCTAGCAGATGAACAGCTTATTGTTTGTTTTTTTAACCTCTACTAATTGACAAGTAAAAAATAATAACCTTATGGTATAGATGTGATGACAGTTTCCTAGGGTCACTCAATATGGGTGCCAGTTCTCGTCCTGGCTCCTCCTCTTCCAGTCCAGCTCTCTGCTGTGACCTGGGAAAGCAGATGGCCCAATGGGAGACCAGGAAGAAGCACCTGGCTCCTGGCTTCGTATCGGTGCAACTCTAGCTGTTTGCAGCCATTTGGGGAGTGAACCAACAGATGGAAGACCTTTCTCTCTCTCTCCCTCTGACTGTCTGTAACTCTACTTCTCCAATAAATAAAGAAAATCTTAAAAAAAAAAAAAAAAAGTAAGTGGATTAACCAGGTCTTGAACCAACGACAGTATTGGATGCTTGTGTCACAGGCGGCAGTCCTACTGCTACGCCACAACACTAGCACTGAAGAATATAAACTTTTAAAAATCATTAAAAAAACTAAAATACTAAAATTTGCTGAAATATAGATGGCATAAATGATATCAAAGGGGAAATGAATGCATTCTGGAACAACTTTTGAAATAATCTCATTCCCTTTCTAATGTCCTTGGAAGCCTTATATCTACCTCATACCTTTTTCTCATGTTGAGTGTTACAATTCTCTTGTTCAAGGTGGCATGTACCAATGCTATCTCACTAGTCCAAGTGATCAATTTCAGTTCACAATTGATCACACTGATAGGTCTAAGAGTCAAAGGGATCACACAAACAAGACTGGTGTCTGCTAATACTAACTGATTAATAAAAAAGGGAGAGAATGATCCAACATGGGAAGTGGATACACAGCAGACTCATAGAATGGCAGATGTCCTAAACAGCACTCTGGCCTCAGAATCAGCCCTAAAGGCATGCGGATCCAGCTGAAATGCCCATGAGAGTATTTCAGGCATGGAAAGCCAAGACACTCTGGCAAAAAAAAGAGACCTAAATGAAAGATCTCTGTGAGTGAGATCCCAGTGGAAAGAACAGGTCTTCAAAGAAGGAGGTACCTTTCTCTGAAGGGAGGAGAGAACCTCCACTTTGACTATGACCTTGTCTAAATAAGATAAGAGTCAGAGAACTCAAAAGGCTTCCATAGCCTTGGAAAGTCATGACTGGAGCATAGGGAGATTACTGATGCCATAAACAGGAGTGTCAATTTGTAAAGTCAACAACAGGAGTCACTGTGCACTTACTCCTCATGTAGGATCTCTGTCCTTAATGTGCTGTACATTGAGATTTAATGCTATAACGAGTACTCAAACAGTATTTTTCACTTTGTGTTTCTATGTGGGTGCAAACTGTTGAAATCTTTACTTAATGTATACTAAACTGATCTTCTGTATATATAGAAAATTGATAATGAATCTTGATACGAATGGAAGGGGAGAGAGAGTGGGAAAGGGGAGGGTTGCGGGTGGGAGGGAAGTCATGGGGGGTGGGGAGCCAATGTAGTCCATAAGCTTTACTTTGGAAATCTATATTCATTAAATAAAAGTTAAAAAAAATTTCTCTTGTAAGAGTTCCTCTATGATATTCACACTTGTTATAAATTTATTGGTCAGTCTTCCTTTCATTTGGAATAATGCCATTTGTTAACTCCAGATTGATTTTAACTGTTTTCTCTGTTTTAATATTTCCTCATTTTTGTTTTCCCAGGCAGACACTTGCATAATAATACAAGCATTACTAACTAGGGTTTTTCTATGATCACAGATTTATACCTAAAACTGGAAGATGTGACCCACAAATTTAATAAGCCCTGTATAATGGATGTAAAAATAGGGCAAAAAAGCTATGATCCATTTGCATCGTCTGAGAAGATTCAGCAACAGGTCAGCAAGTACCCATTAATGGAAGAAATTGGATTCCTGGTGCTTGGCATGAGGGTAAGAATAAGAATGGTTATTAGTAAAAATACATGGATTTTTTTTTCACGTGTTCTTCCCTTGGAAATTATGGATGTCATTATAACAATACCAGTGTATCAGAGGACAGCATATTTTGGGATTAAATTGACTCTTCCCCAGTGTGTCAGCTTATGAGGGCAGGGATTTTTTTTTTTAATTGTGCAATAAACTTTTTATTTTTCATTCAAAAAAAGTCCACAGCATTCAGAAAACAGGGTGGTAGGAGAAGTAAAGACACTTTCCAGGTGGATTGTGTTTAAGAACAGATGAGTAGGTAGCAATTTAATACAAATGGAGACAAATAACAACCCATGTAAAAACAAGACCTGAATCATGGGGGCAGAAGGCAGATTTATCAACCAGTGTAAATTTGGAGGGTTCATGCATGCAACTCGACATTCCAAGAGGGCAGAGATTTTTTTTTTTTCAAGATTTATTTATTTATTTGAAAGGCAGAGTTACAGAGAGGGAGAGGCAGAGAGAAAGAGAGAAAGGAGAGAAGAAGGTGTCTTCCATCTGTTGGTTCACACCCCAGATGGCCACAAGGGCAGGAGTGGAGCCAGTATGAAGCCAGGAGCTTCTTCAGGGTCTCCCACGTGGGTGCAGGGGCCCAAGGACTTGAGCCATCTTCCAGTGCTTTACTAGGCCATAGCAGAGAGCTTGATTGGAAGTGGAGCAGCCAGGACTCAAGCCAGAGCCCATATGGGATGCTGGCATTGCAGGCGGCAACTTTACGCTATGCCACAGCAGCGGCCCCAGAGATTTTTATTTTTCGTTGACTGAAACACGGTTAGTGTCTCAATAGTCCTGGCCCATAGTAGGTGATTAATAAACCAATGAAGGCTTCAACCACAATTCTGTGACTCTGGTAATTTTGTTTTAAAGAGGCTTTAAGGTTAAGTGCAAAGTAGATTTTTAAAGTAAACATGATATTATGTTTATATGGTAATTTGGCACCAAAAAACATGAGAAAAATATTCCTTATATCTTCTGTAATTTTTTTATGTTTTCAAAATAGAAATTAAAACATTAGGTGATTGTTTTAGATTTTGCTTGGAATTCTGTGGATTTGCGATTTGAGCTAGGCTCACATAAGAGAGTTCTTTTAGGCCGGCGCCGCGGCTCACTAGGCTAATCCTCCTCATACGTATTGTTGATTTGAAAAGAAATGCTTCATTATTTTCCCTTTACACTTCAGGTTAACTTTTGGTGGATTAAAGTAAATAACTTTTAATATTGGAAATATTTATTCTTCTTATAAACATTTTCATCGATAGTGGATATTAAATTAGTAAAATGTCTTTCTGCTTCATTCTTAAGACTGATTTTTTTCTTCAGAAATCTATTACATCAGTAGATCTCATCTTTCCTCACCCTTGTGTTGCTAGAATAAACCCCTCATGGTCAAGAAACATTAGTTAGTTAGCTGTGTGTGTGTGTGTGTGTGTGTGTGTGTGTTTTCTTTTTTTTTTCTTGGTAAAGCGTTAGTTTTTTAACTTTTAATTGCTTGTCTTTGACAGGTTTATCATGTTCATTCTGATAGCTATGAGACACAGAACCAGCACTATGGAAGAAACTTAACAAAAGAAACTATAAAGGATGGTAAGCAATTTAAAATGCCTTTATTGGTTGTGTTGTAGTGGGTAAAGCCACTGCTTGCAATGCTGGCATCCCATATGAACGCTGGTTTGGTTCCCAGCTGCTCCACTTCCTATCCAGCTCCCTGCTGGTGGCCTGGGAAAAGTAGCAGAAAATGGCCATGGTTCTTGGGCCCCTGCATCCACGTGGGAGGCCCAGATGAAGCTCCTGGCTTTAGCCTGGCCCAGCCCTGGCCATTGCAGCCATCTGAGGAATGAACCATTAGATGAGAAGATCGATCTCTCTCTCCCTCTCCTTCTCCTTCACTGTAACTCTTTCAGAGAAGTAAATAAATTAGTTTTAAATAATGCTCTTATTATTGGATAGTTAAAATAATTCTAGAGTTATTTCACTTTTTTTAAAAAAGATTTATTGGCTGGCGCCACGGCTCAGTAGCCTAATCTTCCACCTGTGGCACTGGCACATTGGGTTCTTGTCCCTGTTGGGGCGCCGGATTCTGTCCTGGCTGCCCCTCTGCCAGTCCAGCTCTCTGCTGTGGCCCAGGAGTGCAGTGGAGGATGGCCCAAGTGCTTGGGCCCTGCACCCCATGGGAGACCAGGAGAAGCACCTGGCTCCTGGCTTCGGATCAGCGTAGTGCACCGGCCACAGTGGCCATTGAGGGGTGAACCAACAGCAAAGGAAGACCTTTCTCTCTGTCTCTCTCTCACTGTCCACTCTGCCTGTCAAAAAAATAAATTAAATTAAATTAAATTTAAAAAAAAGATTTATTTATTTACTTGAAAATCAGAGTTACACAGAGAGAAGGAGAGGCAGAGAGAGAGAGAAGTCTTCCATCGCTAGTTCACTCCCCAAATGGCCACAATGGCCGGAGCTGCTCTGATCTGGAGCCAGGAGCCAGGAGCTTCTTCCAGGTCTCCCACGCGGGTACAGGGGCCCAAGGACTTGGGCTATCTTCTACTGCTTTCCCAGGCCATAGCAAAGAGCTGGATGGGAAGTGGAGCAGCCAGGATACTGGCGCCTGTATGGGATGCTGGCACTGCAGGTGGCGGCTTTACCTGCTACGCCACAGCGCCGGCCCCAAGTTATTTCACTTTTAATTTACTTTTGAATGATGACTAAATAAAAATAAACCATTTTTTTACAAAAAGAAATTTATACTCACAAAATTGGATTAATGATAATCTCTGGTTCATGATGCACCCAAACCATGAATCCATGGATAGTCCTGTTTTACATTTTTATTCTTATTAGTATGCTTTTTTTAGGGGGAAAAAAAAGTCTGTGAACCAGATATCTGGCTGAATACCGGACTTAGGAGTCTTTTAAATTATCTTTTATTTTAAAATTTTATTTAATATTATTTATTCAAAAAGCAAGTGATGGACACACACATTCACACAGAGATCTTCTGTCTGCTGGTTCAGTCCCCTGATACCTGCCAGAGCTGTCAACACCATCCACATGTCTTGTGTGCATGGCAAGGACTCAAGGATCTCCCAGGATAGCATTTAGTAGGAAGGTGGATTAAAAGTGGAGTTAGTACTTAAATTCATGCACTATGATAAGGGATTTGGGCATCCCAAATGTCATCCTAATCACCATAACAAATGATCCTCTTTAAAAATCATTTTTCAAATAAAAGTTTAGATAGTGGTGTATTGAAATAAGCCACTATCTGAGAGACTTCAAAATGTGTATTTCTACTGAAATATAGTGTATTTTTACTGAAATTTCTCATCTGTAGTTGAACTATTATAGTGAATAATCAAGTGACATTAAAGTGTTTAAATAAAGTCTGTTAACGTATAAGTATATGCTTCTAAAACATTTGTGGCTGAGATATTAGAAAAGTAGTGATAGCCAAGATTTTTTTTTTTTTTTTTTGACAGGCAGAGTGGACAGTGAGAGAGAGAGACAGAGAGAAAGGCCTTCCTTTGCCGTCGGTTCACCCTCCATTGGCCGCCGCGGCTGGCCTGCTGATCCGAAGGCAGGAGCCAGGTGCTTCTCCTGGTCTCCATGGGGTGCAGGGCCCAAGCACTTGGGCCATCCTCCACTGCACTCCCTGGCCACAGCAGAGAGCTGGCCTGGAAGAGGGGCAACCGGGACAGAATCCGGCGCCCCGACCGGGACTAGAACCCGGTGTGCTGGCGCCGCAAGGCGGAGGATTAGCCTAGTGAGCCGCGGCACCGGCCTGTAATAACTGTTTTAATATTCTAGCACTTAAACTTTTTAAAAAAGATTTATTTATTTATTTATTTATTTATTTCAAAAGCAGGGTTACAGAGAGGCAGAGGCAGAGGCAGAGAGAGATCTTTCATCTGCTGGTTCACTCCCCAAATGGCCGCAAAGGCCAGTGCTATTTTAGGCTGAAGCCAGGGGAGCTAGGAGCCTCTTCCATGCAGGCACAGGGGCCCAAGGACTTGGGCCATCTTTCACTGATTTCCCAGGCCATAGCAGAGAGCTGGATTGGAAGTGGAACAGCTGGGTCTCGAACTGGTGCACCCACATAGGATGCTGGTGCTGCAGGCAGCGGCTTTACACACTATACCACAGGACTGGCCCCTGTACTTAAACTTGATCATGGTACTTGATCCTTTTAATATGTTATTGAATTCAGCTGACTAGTAATTTGTTGAGAAGTTTTGCGTCTATGTTCATTAGGGATACCGTCCTGTAATTTTTTTTCCTAGTTCGACTTTCATATTAGGGCGATGTTGGCTTTCTAAAATGATTTTGGTGGTATTCCTTCCTCTGTTCCTGTTTTGCTACAGTTCGAGAAAAATTGGTGTTAACTGTTCTTGAAACATCTGGTAGAATTCTGCAGGGAAAACATTCCGATCCCGGGGTTTTATTGGACGGGCTGTTTGCTTATGGGCTTCCCCTTTTTCTTTTTTTTTATTTTTTAAAACTTTTAATTTATTAACTATAAATTTTCCAAAGTACCAGCTTATGGATTACAGGGGGGTTTCCACCCCCATAAACTTTCCCTCCTAACCTTCAACCCCTCCCATCTCCCTGGCTTCCCTCTTCCCATCCCA